TCTCCAACTCCTGGCCACAGTGATCCTCCTGCCTCGGCTTCCCAAAGTGCTGGGATTACAGGTACGAGCCACCATGCCTGGTCTTTTTTTTTATTTTTGTACTAAGCATTTCTAGACTTGTGTAGAAATTAAGACCACATACTAGACATTTAAAAGCAAGACTGCCATTTATAAAAATCTCATTTCAGGAAGGAAGGAGAGCGTACTGGTTAGCAATTGAAGACCGTCTCAGAAACCCATCAAAGATTGGCTTTTTATAGGAAAAGCCTCCACAGACTCAAAAAGCCTCTAGTCTCCTGCCCATAGGAAAGCATGCCCTGGAAATAGTGTGGGGACAAGGCAGAGTGTTAACTACCCCAACTTCTGTGTGTATTTTACACTTACAACACATCTCAATTGGGACTAGCCACATTTCAAATGTGCAATAGCCACAAGTGGCTGCCATATTGGACAATGTAAGTCTTGCAGGATGCCTGACAAATATTACTTACCTAATAAAGAGTTGATATATGAAAGGCAGGGGGAAGGAAAGAAAGAAGGAAAAGAGGAAGAGAAGAAAGATGGGAAGGAAAGGGAAATTAACATCTGTTGAGTAGTTACTATGTTAGATTCTTTCACACCAGTAAATTATGTCATTTAACCCTCATATCAACCCTGGTGAGAGAGCTAATATTAGAACCACCTTTAAGTGAGGACACTGGTTGGAAGATGTCGTGTCACTTGCCCAAGATCATGCTGTCTTTTGAATGAAAGAAGCAGGATAGAGAACACAGTCTTCCTCAACTATCCTCCCGCACACACAGAAGCCATATGTAACAAGTCTCTTCAAGCCAGCTTGCCATCTAGATTTCTTTCTCCTCCAGCTGAAACTTTACAGGGTTTTTAATGAGTGAATCCCACAGACATTCTCCTTCCAAAAGTATGATCTGACCATTGCAGGCTAATGTAGAGGCCTCTTCTCCCTCCATAAGTGATCCTTATTTCATTAGCTGCTGTTGCCCATTAGAATTCTACTGTGACCAAACAAAATGGTGGCACTTGGAGTTCCATGCTCTAGCTCTATGCAGTTTTCTTCCTTTCTTCATTCAATTAGCACACATCCCAGATAACTCTGTTCAAAGAGGAAGAAAGAAAAGAAGAAGTAAAAGAAGGAGGAAAGGAGAAGAAGAAGGAAGGAAGAAGAGGAAGAAGAAGAAGAAGAAGAAAGAGGAGGAGGAGGAGGAGGAAGGAAGAAGAAGGAGAAGGAGAAGGAAGAGGAAGAGTAGAGGGGATGGGGAGAGGGAGGAGAAGGGGAGAAAAAACTCAAGCTAAAAGTCATCTCATCTCAGGCAAGGAACCTCCTCTGACACTTTCCACATATGAGACTCTCCCTGTCTTGTGTGTTCCCGAGGAACCCCATGGAATTTCTCAAGCGTACTATCATTGTTTACTTCGCGGATCTCCATCACCGCCCTGTGAGCTCCTGAAAGACACAGACTATGACTTCGATCGTTATATTCCCAGTACCCAGCATTTATTGAATAGGGTTGTTGAATGAGTAAATATATGAATGAATGGACAGATGAACCCACAGCTCTGTTTAAATGTAAGAAGCCCCATCTGGTACCACACAGTCCTAAGGCCTAAAAAACGACTACTGTGTACTCTTGCAATAGCTGAATTCCACCCAGATGAGTTATGCAGGTGTGGTTCATAGCCACACAAGCAGACAACATCAGCAGAACTTCTATGACTCCTCCAACCATTGCATAAGAAGTGATGTTTTAAGCTATGCAGAAGATGTAGCAAAGCTGGGAGGTCAGGAACCTGTGGAAGTCATATGAAATACTCCCAGAATGTGACAGGATGGAAAGAAGCCGTGGTAAGCATTAGAGTTTGGCCACAGAGCCAAGGATCCTGGTCCTGCTAGTCTGGAGGGGACAGGGGACATGAGTGTTGGTATCCCTCTACCCTAGAAGGACAGGTAATGGCAGACTGCACCAAGCAATGGGTGCAACCACAGGAACTTAGCTCTCCCAAACTTACAACATCCTGGGAAAAGAGATCCACTTTCCAGTCATCATCAAAGATGTTTATGGATGGGACACTTTGTTGCATCTTGAGATTATGTTCTATGCTAGGTCTTGAGCTAGAGCTTCTAACCTTAGCTTAAGCATACCTGTGTGCCCCTAATGGGAACAGGTGTGCCAGAGGGAAACACAAATCCCCTAAGCCCCAGGAACTGCCAGGTGAGGGTGAGGGGGCAAGGACTACAGTAGCCAGACCCCGATGGCCTACTGCCTAAAAATGAGCCCTTCCATCTACATAAATCATATCACGTCCACGTATACTGTGACATGAAAAAGGTTGGGAAGCATTGATTAGACTATAGGAGATGAATAGCCGGCACTAGAGAATTAGGACTTTTAAGAAGAACTCCATTTTGACAGGCCAAGTAGATTGAGGTTTCTCAGATGTGATTCCAAGCCAAGGCCCCTACTTATGTGGATGTTTCTGTGAATTCAGAAGAAGGCTGGAACACTGGGGCCTTGCACCACTGAAGATAAATAACAACATGCACAAGAGTAAGTTCCAGACTGCCAACAAAGGTGCAATCCGGAAAAACAAACAAATCAAGGGGGTGATACTGCATCTCCCACACAGCCGTGACACACGAGTCAAGGGCCAGAGTCACCCCCAAACCACTGCCTGGCACCTCTGCACCTCGGTTCCTAATAGGGTACCATTCAGGGAAGAATTACCCATTAGGATAGCTTCACAGACAAGCAAGAAGGGGTGGGGAGGGGATTGTTATTGTCAGTGCAGCTGGGACCACTGCCCCCACCCCCAACATTTACTCTCCTGGTATTGTTCGTCTTTGTCTTTTCAAGTGTAGATCAGGACTCAGTATTGGACAGAGCTGGGCAGGTATGTAACTGGAGAACTAAAATGCTGCCTAAGAAGGACTTGGGATGTTAGGAAAGCCAGGCTTCTACAGAACTCTTACCACCTAAAACAACAAGCAAACGTATAAAAATAAATACTTCTCCTCATTACTACTCAGCTGGGCAGAAATACACTGCACAGTCATGGAAAGTGGCCCACAGCTATACTGGGGCCAGCCTAGAGGATGAGGGCAGGAGCTGAATGTGGCAAGAAGGCTCTGGACACCTGACTAGACATCAGAACAGCTCCACTTGCCACAGCAGCTCTGGCTGACATTACTGTCTTTCTAGAGCCTGAGTGGGCGGAAAAAGGCCAACAAGATTGGCACAGAATGATGTGAGATGAACACCCCCAGGATGTGTGCGGACGTGCTGCAGCTGGCATGGCAATGTCATATTGCTAGTCAAGGAGAAGCCACCTCTGAGATCCATATCAGAAAGGGGAAATGAAAGCCAAACCCTACCACACCCCATCTCAGCTGGAGGCGCAGATGTTGCCTGGACCCCATCCATTCACACTGGCCTTGGGGAACTTAGGATGTATCAGAGAGAATTTAAACTCTACTAAATCCGAAATTAAAAGGTGTCCATGGCGTTCGCAGAACTTCATGCACTAAACTTTGCTCCCACATTCTAAAGGGGCTCTTTAACATTTTGAAAATTACCAGGAAGCACATATCCCCTTTCATGAAAGCTAATGAAACATTCACTGACTCACGGTCCATCGTGGGCCAAAGAAGACGAGGTGACTTCTTGATGTGGACCCCATCCTCATACTGAAAAGGTTGCTTCCAGGTCCCAGCCTGACTGTGACACCATGATGTGATTGACTTTTTACTTCTCCTTGTTCCCTTACCTCCTGGACCAAGACAGGGAAAGTGAGAGGCTTTTCTTGGTGATGAGACACTCTGCTTTCACTGCCTTGGGACAGAAAACGGTAAAGGCGGAGGTTGCTGTTGTCCAGCAGCATGAAGTTAGGTTGGCAACCCATGCCTGCCTGCTCCTCCAAGAAAACAGGGAAAAGACTAGAAGCAGAGACCCAGCCCCACGAGGGACCATATTTAGCTGCGTGGTCAGAGGTTTGTGTGAAGCATACAAGAGGGGCTAGAGAGGTCATACAGAAAACGCTCTGCAGGTAGGCGCCCAGTGTATAATCAAGCAGAAGGTATCATTTCCAGAACCCAGCGGGGGCAGAAAAGAGGCCCTCACCAATTCATCCTTAAACTGGCATCTACCAGCATCTTAACATAGCCCTAAAGGAAAACCCAAAACTCATATTCTGTGCTCTTAAACAATTTTTGTTTTCATGGACCAAAAATAATGAGACCTCAGTGAATAAACAAGAGGAAGACAAGGCAAGGAGCATTGCTGGCCGGGAATAAGAAGGCACTGTCTGCAAACTGTGTTCAGAGCTCTGCAGGGGAGCTCTTTCTCAGTGAGACCTGCTCTCATCACCTTATTTAAAATTGCCTCCATACCCGACTCTCTTTTCTGGCTTTATTTTCTCTATAACACATTCCCTTTTAATATACCCATAATTTACTGACTTATTTTGTTTATTGCATTCCTCACTCACTAGAATGAAAGCCCCATGAATACAGGAGGTTTTTTTCTATTTTTCTTCACTGCTCAATCCTTAGCTGTTAGAACTGTGCTTGACATATAGTCAGTCGTTCAGTACCTAAGTGTTGAGTGGATAAATGGATGGACGGGAAGGATGGATGGAAAGATTTCTGATAGACCTAACACTTCGGCTGCCAGATTCCTGAAGGTCCCAGAGTAAGAAAATGCTACAGAAATCAAAAGAAGCATTTAAGGCACATACCTTCAACATCAATTCTTCCTATCTAACCACAATGCTATATCCCAACACGAAATGAAATAAAATTTCCACAGAATCATCAGCATTAGGCTAGTCTTAGCTGTGCCTTGACCAGCCACAACCCACGATAAGTTACCTGCACAATGTCATAAATACACAGTAGAGTCAGATTCAAACTAGGTCTACACGAATCAGAAGTTCTTGCTCTTTTCACATTATCACACCAAAGGTTACTGCAGAAATGGCAAACTAACCTTTGGCTGTTTAAATCCATTTCTCCCCTCAGAGTCATTGATCATCTTTGCTCTCAGTAGATCAAGCATGTTAGAACTGTGGTTGAAGGGGTAAGAATGAAGCAGCCAAAACTTAGCCTTTGTTTCTTAGGTAACGCTGGAAAGCTTCTGGAATAAAAAAATCGTTAGGCTGAAACTTGACATCTTACAGTTAGTTTTACACACACACACACACACACACACACACACACACACCTGTATAAATGTCAAAAGGGACTAGTAAGAAAGCACAGTATTAAAACTTACCACACTTTTACCTTTGCCCAAGTACCCCACGAATCATGAGTACTGAAGACGTGCTACTCAGCAGCTAACAATCCTGGCAGATGCTGCTTAATGTTCAAGTCGATTTCAGCAGCATACACATTGCAACTGCTCCAGAAAACTTTCCTTTCTTCCTCCCACTCACAGGCTTTCCCCTGGGCGTTGCACTCACTGCCAGTGGCCTCCATCTCCACCCAACTTACAGAAACCTGGCCCGTAGCACCCTGCAATTAATGTCATCAGACAGGCAAATCTGATTGTCAACCCATGGGACACACTCACAGCTCACCAGAAGACACTGTCCTTTACAACCAGGGAGTTGAGTCACTACTGAGTCACCATGAGCAAACTTTCCTTAATGCCTATATAGTAACTATACTCATTTATTCACACTTTCACCAAGTCTGACTCTTGATTTTTTGACCAGCCAGCCTAGGGTCCTGTGTGTAAGCACGGAAAAAGTAAAGGCTCCTGCAGGGAACAGGGCCACCCATGACTTTGCTTCTCCCACCTGGGCCAACCTGCCAACCCAACCATCTCACACTCATCTGAACCCACACAAGGGGAGTCGACAAATACTCCAGTCTGCACCCCTCACCTGAGTCTGAAGACAAATACGACTCAGAAATGAATATACACAGTCATTCGTGCTAGTTTCAGTATTTGTACCTGCCAGCCAATAAGGCTATTTCTTGACTCTTGCTTAAGAAATAAGGCCTACTTTAGTGAGTGTGGAGTGCACGTATGAAATAAATAAGAAGGTGTATTGTCTTGTTACCAGAAAACAAAGTAAACCAAGATTTTTTAAATGGCTTCTTTTCGAAAGACGGAAGTATCACATATTGCCAAGACCTGAATCACCCTTTTAACCACAGACTCTAAATAAGTATGCAAGTTGTTATAGAAGAAAAGAGAACTCTGCAAACCTTCTATTAAAGGAGATTAAACATTAAATCCATTAAGACAAGAGTGTGGACAGCAGTTTCATTTGGAGCACATGTGGATACAGAAACTTGGAGGAGAGTGATGCAATGGGCTCTTGATTTCTCATTCCTGTTACACTTGAGCGACCGGAAGCATAGAGGCAGAACCAGCTACGCTATCTGTGGTTTGCAAAGCAAAATGAATCTTTAAGCAGACATCCAACAAAATGTTTGAGAAGACTGGCTTCCATTTTTCTCTTTCTGCTTCTTAACTAGCCTTCCCCTTCATACTGTTCAGGGTCTCAGTGGAACTAACCATTAAAACCCTCCTAAACCCCATAACCACCTCTAATCAAAACTCACTTATCTCATGAATCAAACAGTTCCTCTAATAAATTAATTTTAGAAACGTGACCAATGATGGTGGATGGCTTGGAGGTGGAGGTAAGCCCAAAAGTGAGGCCCACAGGCAAGCCCATTTAAACCACAGTCCTTCCTAAAATGCTGCTGCATAAGAATGGCTTTTTCCAGTCACAAGCATCATGGCCCTTTCAATAAGAGGAAGATGCTCAGCTAATATAAGTTAACTTGCTCATCACTTTTCCAACTGCACAGAGGACACCAGAAACAATATTCATTCACCTTTATTCTGACTTTTTTATTCACCACAGACTCAGAGTTGCCCTCCAAGAATTATTTCCCAAATCACACCCACAGTAATAAAGGATATCAGCTTAGGTGCTCAAATATTCCTTGGACAATTAAGGAAAAATACAAAAGGCTGAACTTTGGCATGGGGACAGTTGGAAAGAGCATATTTCTAAACATCATTTGTTAACACATGGGAAAAGAAAGCGACAATGTGCCAGACCCTGAAGGAAAGATGATATACTTCAAGCCTATGGCTTTTCCCGAAAATTTATTTTTTCAGACAATATCAAGTTCCTTATTAAGAATATTTCATTCCTGGCTGGGTGCAATATGTCATGCCTGTAATCCCAGCACTTTGAGAAGCCGAGGCAGGTGGATCACCTGACGTCAGGAGTTCGAGACCAGCCTGGTCAACATGGCAAAACCGTGCCTCTACTAAAAATAGAAAAAATTAGCCAGATGTGCTGGCACATGACTGTAGTCCCAGCTACTTGGGAGGCTGAGGCAGGAGAATGGCTTGAACCCCAGAGGCAGAGGTTGCAGTGAGCCCAGATCATGCCACCACACTTAAGCCTGGATGACAGAGCAAGCAAGACTCTGTCTCGAAAATAAATAAATATATAAATATATAAATAAATTCCCACATCTGGCAATATGCCTCATGATTCAGCACCATCAGTGATTGAGAACACATGGAAAAGAAAATTAAAAGGCTTAGCCAGGCTCAGTGTGAGAGCAGATGCTGTTCTCCATAAAATGTAGGCCCAGGGCCCTCTGGGGGCAGTGATGGGTGCCTTTCCAAAGATAGCCCCCCATCTTTTCACTTCACAGGGATTCATCTCATGCCAGGGAGAGAATGCCTCAAAGTAAAAATCTCCTCCCAGTTGACCTCTTTCCATTCCGAACTTTTCAAAAATTATTTCCTTCAACACATTATGAAAAAAAAAATGGGCTCTCTTAATTTCAGAAAAATTGAAGAATGATCCCCTGGGGTGGTATATAAATTCTACTTCCAGTCCAAATATAAGATTCACAGAAATAAGGAGGAAAACTATCCCACCATAGCCTTTTCTGAATTCCATACCATTTCTGTGTCAATGAGAACCTAGACCGAGATGCTGATGGAAAGGCAATCATGAGTTGGGGAGAAAAAGAAGGAGAATAAAGGGAAGAGACAAAAGTGGGGAGGTGGGAATAAGACTGCGATGGACGTAAAGTACACTTCTCTTGACTTTGCCTTCAGTGGTTTCACGTTGGTAAGCTAATTCACTTACTGTAGAAAAATCAACTCGCATCCGAGAGCCAATCAAAACACAGCCACTTATCAGGGCACAGAAGCAGTTTCACCGACTCACTCCGCCTCTTTTACTCATTACTGCCACAAAACATAAGTCATTAAGTATGAAGCCAAAAGTAAAACCAGCAACACTTACCACAATTAACATCAATTAGATCATATCAAGTTTCCAGTGCATTTCTCTCCAGAAAGCATAATCTTTCCCTTGACTGAGACTTCCTGGTAGGCTAATGACCATGCATCATGTCCAGGAGTACACAAGGTAGTCCAGAGCTCATCTGATAAAAGCAGAGAGCTCTCACCTATGCTCTCTCTTTTTAAATTTTTTATTGATACATAATCATTGTACATATCTGCAGAGTACATGTGCTATTTGGATACATGCATACAATGTGTAATGATCAAATTAGGGTATCAGGGATATCCATGACCCCTGAAACATTTATCATTTCTTTGTATTGGGGGCATTTCAAACCTTCTCTTTAGCTATTTTGAAGTAGATAATATATTGTTGTTAATAATAGTCACTCTACTGTGCTATCAAACACTAGAACTTATTTTTCCATATGAATGCATATTTGTACCCATTAACCAACCTCTCTTCACCCTCCTCCCACACCCCTCCCAGCCTCTGGTAACCACCATTCTACTCTATATTTTTCTAAGATCAACTTTTTTAGCTCTCCCATAATAGTAAGAACGTGTGATATTTGTCTTTCTGTGCCTGGCTTTCAATTTTCCCAAACACTGATCCTTAGACTTCCATTCCCATCTCTCAGAGCAGGTAAAATTTCTATCAAATAACAGTAATATCTTGTCATCATCTTCAAGTAGGAGCTTTTCCACAAATTCATCTGGGTTACAATATTTTAAGAAACATAGCATTTTCTAGCAGCCAAAAGATGAGTAAATTGAATGTAGAAAAGCCACATTTCTGTATGGGCAGAGTGGGAAGGAATGCCCAGGTACCAGTCAATCTGAAGAAAACATGTTTGTTTTGGCAGCCAAGGATCTAACTAGGGACATCCTAATGACATAGCACCAGGTTCAGTTTGAAGGATGGGAGGGAATCAGGGAAATAGGCCTGGCAACCAAATTTACAACAGAGGAAGAACAGACATCCCAAGCTCAAATTGTGGAGCTCAATTATGAACCTCTAGAGTCGTAAGTCCATTCACGATACCAGAACATCCCTCACTGACCCAGCCTCCAACCCCTGCCAATAAACAAGTCTGGCCTCTTCAGCACTGACCAAACCCTAACAAGACTTTACTCACGTCACTCTCTGTATGTTCCTGTTGGTACCAAAGGGCTTCTGTTCCGGAACATGGCTGAGCTAGCCCTCTCAGACCTATCCAAGACCTTGGCCTGCCTGGTTTGGTCCTTACTGCGCTCTAAGGCTTTGAATCTGAGTCATACATTGACCTCAAAAAACTTGTCCCATCTCACCCACCCACCACCAATACCCATGACTCCTAGCTCCAGCCCCTTAGGATGCACAATGTAGTTGGCCAATAATCTTAGCTGAGTCTTCATTACCATAATCCAATGGCAAGGTTGGAGGTATCAAACGCAGGAAAAATATTTTTTAAAACAGTCACAGACATGAATGAGGAAGTGCTATCTCAGAAGCCAAGATAAATATCAACACAGACCATGGTTTGGCAGTCTCTAGCTTGTTATGTATAAAATGTTCCACTGAAGGCTTAAACTGTTGGACTCTTTAATGGTACAAAAATGTGCATGGAAGTACACCTCCAGGACAGTCAGGGAGAGTGGTGCGTTTCCATTTTGAACTATGACGATCTTGAGGTGTCAGACATTGTAAATTTTACCTTGTTTGGCGCTGGGTGGTTTTTTATTCCCATAAATATTCTTGAATCTGTTCTGGAATGACCTTAAGTAACTTAGATGCAGTTTAATGCTTTTGCCAATTGCTTTTTTATAATTTATTACCCAAATATGGAGCAGTG